GAAGCCAATTAGAATGCAATAAAATGCAAAGCTGAAATTATGGCAATCGTACTTCAAAATCTACTTGATTTTTATGACTTATATGGCTTTATGACTGCATGTTAACTTCATTAAGTTTTAATGCATGCTGGAATGCTGTGAATGACAAGTGACAAAAACTGCTTTGAAACAGTTCTTTGCCCTGACACTTGAAGGAGGACATTGCATTAACAGTTTTATTTCAATAATACAAACTTCTGAGAGGCTGAAAATTAAGTATTCCAATTGAGCTTTAAAAATAGCATATGAAGATTCGGGTTTAATGGACAAAGCCTGTTCCCACTAAATGTATCCTTGTACTGCCAAGAGGGCTTTGAAATAAAATGAAAATCTTGAAGTGGCACGTTTGAGGCTACTAGTGTCAGAGTCAGACCAGCCTAGCAATTCTGAACTAAGATAATCTTGGTATTAAGGAACTGTATTGGAATGTGTTCCCCATCAGTCTGGAAACAAAACTTGCTCCCTTGAGAAACTACCTGGCTTCTGAAGCATTTGCTAAAGCACAAGAACTACTGAAGTATCTTTACTTAAAATCTGACTTTGATTAATGCTCAAAGTGCAGAAAAAAGAGAAATTAAATTCAAAGAACCTTATAGAAGCTTTTTGTAAAAAAACTACCCCTCAGCAAAGTAAGACATCTTAGGGTTAACAACTACTGATGAGTCAAGTCCATAATTCTAGACCGAGTCAGAACAAGAACTGTTTCTTGTAGTGTTTACTTCTTTGGCAAAATCCATAAGGTATTACTTTCCATTATGAGGTAAGCAAACTTTGCTAACAAAGATTTTCATTTAAATGAAAAGGATGCAGAATCATAGAATAGTTAGGGTCGGAAAGGACCTTAAGATCATCAAGTTCCAACTCCCCTGCCAAGGGCAGGGACATCTCACACTAAACCATGTCACCCAAGGCTCTCACCAACCCGGCCTTGAACACCACCAGGGATGGAGAATTCACAACTTCCTTGGGCAACCCATTCCAGTGCCTCACCACCCTCACAGTAAAGAACTTCCTCCTTATATAGAATCTAAACTTCCCCTGTTAAAGTTTTAATCCATTACCCCTTGTCCTATCACTACAGTCCCTAGTGAAGAGTCCCTCCCCAGCATCCTTACAGGCCCCCTTCAGATATTGGAAGGCTGCTATGAGGTCTCCATGCAGCCTCCTTTTCTCCAGGCTGAACAGCCCCAACTTTCTCAGCCTATCTTCATATGGGAGGTGCCCCAGTCCCCTGATCATCCTTGTGGCCCTCCTCTGGACTTGTTCCAACAGTTCCATGCCCTTTTTATGTTGAGGACACCAGAACTGCACACAACACCCCAAGTGAGATCTCATGAGAGCAGAGTAGAGGGGCAGGATCACCTCCTTCGACCTGCTGGTCACACGATGCAGCCCAGAATATGGGCACACTGCAGCCGGCTCATATTAAGTTTCTCATCTACCAACACCCCCAAGTCCTTCTCCGCAGGGCTGCTCTGAATCTCTTCTCTGCCCAATCTGTAGCTGTGCCTGGGATTGCTCTGACCCAGGTGTAGGACCTTGCACTTGGCATGGTTAAACCTCATGAGGTTGGCATCAGCCCACCTCACAAGCATGTCAAGGTCCTTCTGGATGGCATTCCTTCCCTCCAGCGCATCAACCGAACCACACAGCTTGGTGTCATCGGCAAACTTGCTGAGGGTGCACTCAATCCCACTGTCCATGTCAGCAACAAAGATGCTGAACAAGACCAGTCCCAACACCGATCCCTGAGGGACACCACTCGTTACTGGTCTCCAGCTAGACACTGAGCCATTGACCACAACTCTTTGTGTGCAGCCATCCAGCCAGTTCTTTATCCACTGAGTGGTCCATCCATCAGATTGATGTCTCTCCAATTTAGAGACAAGGATGTCGTGTGGGACAGTGTCAAATGCTTTGCACAAGTCCAGGTAGATGACATCAACTGCTCTACCCCTGTCCATCAGTTCCATAGCCCCTTCAGAGAAGGCCACCAAATTGGTCAGACACTATTTCCCCTTAGTGAAGCCATGCTGGCTGTCACCAAGCACCTTGTTGTTTTTCACGTGCCTTAGCATGCCTTCCAGAGAATCTGCTCCAAGATTTTGCTAGGCACAGAGGTGAGACTAAGTGGTCTGTAGTTTTCTGGGTCATCCATTTTCCCCTCCTTGAAAACGGGGGTTAATTTTCCCTTTTTGCAGTCATCAGGAACTTTTTTTGTAGAAAATTAACAGTAAACAGCTTTTCATCCTTGCATGTCTCAGGAGAGGTCAATGAAATGACAGTCTCTATCTCTGAATGGTCTCTTTGTCAAAGTGACTGTAACAAACTGCTCATAACCTCCACATGGTGTCATGCCTGGCATCCCTTATGGGTGCTTTGGATGCCTTAAGGCATGCAAATGCCAGTGCATACCTGGATGGCTGAATCAAGCTTGTGGTCTAAACTGGTCAGACTCTGGCTTTTGGTGCCCCAGGGATGGTACTGACTTGACCTCCACTGCCTACAGCAGAGTTTATACAGCTGCTCACGTCAGGCCTTACACAGAGACACACAGATGTCAGGCTCAAACTTACCTCCTCTCAGAGGCATAAAAAGCAGCCACAGTAAGCAACGTGTTTTAATGGGATAGCAGCTAAATCAGGCAGAAGAAACAGACCACATTTAAGAAATAAATGCAGCAGAAAATATGAAAGAATGTTGATAGTGGGACAGTCTGAGGAACCCTTTCTGCCTGTCGTGTAAATGCTATAAGCCTGTCCTTGTGCACTGCAAGGTCTCCTCTGACCTTGTGTTCTATTTAAATCTCTTTGCTGCTCGTGCTTTGATGCACTTTGGCTAACATTTCCAAATTTATAGCACTATTTATCCTCAGCCACTATATAGCTTAGGAATTTGTAAATAGCAAGTAGTGAAACTACAGCCTTCAGTTAGGCCATCCCAGACCAATGTCTGCTATATGGGACCACAATCTATGAATCTTGAATTATTTTCTGCACAGTAAGACAAGATTTAACTGGAGGAATGAAGCATGCCTCTACCTTGCCTTACAGCCTTAAGGTTCCTACAATCTTCTAGGCAGTGGTATATATGAATTTGAACCCTCTCAGACTGTAGAAAGAATGCATCTTGCAACCTTGCAGTGTTTTTCATACTGAACTGTTCAATGGCTTACTGAAAAGGACCCCCCAAAAAAGGAAAAAAGCAACACCTACCCCCTCAACTCAGTTGAATACTTCTTTCAAAGAGTAAGGCCCACAAGTTCTGAAAGGGAATAGCTGAACCCATCTCACTTTGAGGTTTTCCTATCAGGAAGCTTCAGGTGACTCTGCAGTGTAACTGAATGTCTGGATTGCCACCTGTTACATTAAAAGCACAAAACTGTACAGAATTGTGCTGCCTTCTGGCCCACAGGTACTAGGGAGCAGGCAAGATGTTTCAGCTCATTCCAGTTGACTTATTCCTACTTACACCAACAGCAGCTCCAAGGTGTCACTGTATGTTTTTGGCTCAGAAGCAACCACCTCCTAGTCTTAATAAGAAGCCACAATTAAGTCTCTGCTGCATTCTGAAGTGTATTAACCAAAACTATCCACATTTCTTCAGGAAGGGACACGGCCGTTAGCTTAACACCTGAAATGTTAACAGCATGAACTCCATGGATCTCAGTGCATTAACAGCATCTGACTGACTCATCAGTTTACAGACATCTCTTTTCTGCAGTACACTCCTGTAATCTCTTCTCCTCTTTGTCCTAGGGATTTAGCTACTTGTGTTCAAGTTCAGCTCTGTTTCAGCACAACAGCAGAACCTGGTACAGCTCAGCTGCTCTGCTGTTTGCTGTCAGCAACTCGGAGCTCTACCTCAGATGGCCAAATAATGAAGTCATCATAGATCCAAGTCACATGCCCAGAGGCACCTGAGGGACGGCAGGGGCATCACCACCAATGATATGATCTCTGCCACTGCACTCACTTCTCTTCTTGTTTTTGCTAAATTCCACCAAAAACTGCAGTGAGAAGGATAGAGAAATGTAAATTCTTTAGTTCAGCACAGAATAATTACCTGACAACACTCTTCTGCATTAGAGCTCTAAGAGCTTGACTTCACTTGCAGTAGTACTCCTGAGTTGTACGCTACTTTAGCCAGTGATAAAGTTATGTATTTGTGAGTCTTCAGAAAGCCAAGTCTAGTGTCCGAAGCCTCTGAGGACTTGTACCTTAATTGCCATACAATAATTTCTGTGCAATAATTCCTATTAAGCAGAAAATTATTTCCACTCATAATTACTATAAACTGGCCCTTTCAAAATTATGACAGAAGTTACAAAAATATATTTGATGGATCTGATAGTGTCACTGTTCAAAAAACCCAATCAATACCAGTTAGATGCTTTTATTCTCAAAAAAAACAACAAAAAACCGATCAGCAATATAAAATATTTTAACACTATTTCTGTTTAAATATTGGTGACAGATTATGCATTTCATTAAATAAAGTGCTGTTTTTACAAATAGGTATTTCATATTTACTTTTATTGCTGTTCTAACCTCTTTATATTGAGTAGATAAAACTGTATTTTGGTTGATGAAGAATGCAGCATTACTTTTCCTTCATATTCCTTCTCATGAAACCATTACATTTTCAATTTGAACTCCTTTATCTGTATCCAGTCAATAGGGGTGTGATTGGTTTACGTATTTCTCCATGTCTCATAATTTGTGATGGTTTTCAGGCCTTCCTCCAAGCTTCTGTTTTTCTTGACTGTGCCCAGGTCGGTCTCCTACGGGGCTTTTCATCTATGGGCAAGAGTAGAATGAAAACAGGAATCTTTTGACATAGTCATTCATTCTTCCTGCTCTTCTGACTTCATTCTTCTCAAATTCAGACCACTGATGCCTTGAACCATTCAACACTTAGGTTGAACTATTAAAGTCATCTCTGGTATTTTCTTTGATTCTTTGCGGGATTTGAATTTTAAGCACATTACTGCAGAAAGTCCTATGCAGGTGTAGTTAGGACTAGCTTTTGAAATTTCCATCTGTACACTTGGACTTACTCAGCCAGAGGCCAAACTCCACCACAAGAAAAAAACTTTTTTTTTTTTTCCAGTAGCTACCTTTTAGGAGAAACAGCTTCTTGTGGTTTTATAGAGCAGCCAGGTGCTGTAAAAGAAGAGAAAATAAATCTGAAAAACAGGGACAAGCAAGACAAGACTTTAAAGAGACAATAATTTCACAACTACTAGAAACAAGCCCACATTTCACAGTATCACTATTAGACCAGACTCAACCATTTGACTCTGTAATTCACTTTACTCACCTTAAGGCCTCTCCAGTACAGAGAGGGTATGAAAAGTCAAAGTCACACATGAAAAGTTCATCTACTGCCACAAACTTTTCCAGAATCATTCCTTTCTCAGTGTGTACCTTTCCAGCGAGTACCTGAATCCTGTACAATATTTATCTGCAAGTCTATATTGATTTTGTTCCTATTTTTACTTCTCACTCTACAATCTCTTTAACTCCCTCCTCTGGATAATTAATTTCCATTTGATATTTTTGATTTTGAATCCAAAAGTGGAAAGTAAATATACAAACAACTCCTCGCTCTCTTCCACTTTATTCTGTCACATCTTTTAAAATACTTATATATGCAAATACATATGTGTAATTATGTATCAATATGCAAAATACTCTTTACTTTTACATGTGTAAGAAGAAACTGGAAGACCAGAATTTTTGCACAGAATTATAGACTGAATGGCATCATATTCCTTTGTCATTATGGGCATAGTTTTCATTTAATTTGTATCTGGAGAACACTTAGTTTATTCTTTTGATATCTAAAAGCCATTGTTCAGTGTCCCTGCTAGATGTTGGGGTTGTTCTCTTTTCTTCTCACTGTTAGAAGAGAAGTGTTATGTTTAGGTGGGGAGGCAGCTGGATGTCTACACCAAGGTGGGGAGGCAGCTGGATGTCTATACCAAGTGATGAGGCTCATCTTGCTCTTTCAAGCGTTTCAATGAACTTTATATTAGAAAGTAAACTAAGCTAAACGGCAGTTAGCTTTACCTCCAAATCTGATTTTTTTTTCATAATGAGGTTAAGAAATGCCCTAGGAGAAAACTCAGCAAGTTGCTTGGAGACATTACATCTGTATGTCTCTTCAGTTCTTAAGTAATTCCAGTTCACTGCACTGTGTTAGCAAATCCCAAACAGCAGCTTCTGCTCACCTAGTAGTACCTACTGAAAAGGCTCTTTGAGTCTGGGATGTTATTGAGAGACATCCAGAAGTTCCCACACACGCCGACTACTCTGAGAATGGGAAGTAAGCTGCACAATGCACACAGTGACATCTGATAGTGGCTTTCAGCCAAGAAGACTACAGAAAGTAGCCCACACTGACTAGCTACCCCAGCATGCCATTTTCCTCAAGACACATTTAGTGCCCAGTTTCACATATCTAGTGATATTCAGCTGACTGAAAATGAACAACTGGGACCTGGTCATTATTAAGGCCTCCTAAGCACACAATACCTGAGATACTGTTTAATATAACCACTAAAGAACTTAAATGATTTTTTGAGTGGACGCAAAGTAAGCAACTGAAGGAGCTTAAGAGGCACTTTAACACTGGTTGTTGGAATAGACGCATTCCAAAGAAACTGACTATAGACAATCACAGTAAAGTATTACCCATACAAAACAACTAAATGTATACATATGTAAATACATAATTAACATAGCTAGCTAAACCAGCAAATTGTAAACCTTGAATGTATTTACTCTACTTGATCGCAATAAATAAAACTGTCTCCTATAGAGTATGCAAAAGTAAATTATGAATCATACAGAAACGTACCTCCCACGGCTGTGTATATATATATATATATACACACAATTTAAAGTATACTGTATACTACAGTTTGCAATAGTTACATCCATTTTCTGCGTTTATTAGCACATAACAAAAATCTGCTTATTTCAAATAGCACTGAAGTGCATATAAAAATCTTACAGATATATCTAACTTTTTACCTTTACTGTGTACAGTCTCAGCAAAAGACACAGGCATGCATCAGTCATTAACCCTGAAAGCAGTTAACCAGATTGTTTGCCACATCCTGTCTTCTAGCCAGTATTAATTAAAAGTATCCGTACATTTTTCAATTATTTTCAGGTGCTACTTACACTGGGAATGACCTGGAGGTCGTGTGTTACTAACACTACTCTCAAAGGAAGAGTGGAAGTTGTGTATAGTTTCTTGTAAGATCTGTCTCTCTCGTCCCTGTAAAAGCACAATAGATTAGAATAAGGCATTCTTAAATTCCTGGTTTAAAAAATTTATTAAGAGTTCACACACAAAAAAAAAGTGTCAATATGTGAGTCTATGCCCAGACAGTCACAGTGTACTACCAGGAATAATATCAAATCCTTACCTTGCAGTTATCATTTCCTGAAACTATCAGACAGCAGTGTAAACGTTTTCATTATTTTCTTCATAGCTTTACAGAATGGCACATCAAACGCATCATCCACCTTCCCTAATTTTTAGCTTCATCACTTGCTGCTATTGATCTTAACTTTGGGAAATTATGTTTTGTTTACCTGAGCTTCCAGTATTGGAGAATGGAGCTCAAAACTGAAAAAGCAGCTGAGAAGTGTCAGCAGGCCTAACTAAAGAGATGCTCCAGTCCATAATCCCTCTGACAACAGCATTTCTCACTGTATGCCATGCTTAGCAAATCTGTTTATGTCAATATAAAATTGAAAAGCAATAAAAGTGTAAGGAATGACAGAAGTACTATTTACCTAGTCAGAGAAATCCAGAACTGCTAGGCAAAACAAAGGAGACCTTTCTTTTTACATTATATTTTTGAGCTGGGCCACAGTGGCCAGCTGATTATTTTTAGCATCAAAAAAATGAAAAATCAATATTCAGTAACTGCAGTGTTTCCAATGTTTGTGTTACTAGTAGCTTTTGGGACAAAATCCAGTAACTAGAAAGACTTAATGAAAGAGAACAGGGAGTAACACAAAGGAAGGTATTTTTCACTAATCAAATACATTGAATATTTTGTTTGGAAAACACTGTTTTTTCTAACTAACATCAGAAACTGAATCTTAAAATTTACGTCAAATTAACAACATAACCAAGTCTTGAATTAAGTTACTAAGTTGAGTACTTCAAAACCTACCTTTCCCGCGTTCAGTTCAGAAATAGCTGCCAAAATTTGCTGCCTTGATCCATCAGTTTTAATACCCAGCTCTTTCAGATCACCATCAGTAAGTGTAAGAAAGGCTTCCATATCCACCTGCATGTAAAAAAAAAAAAAAAGACAAGGCAAATTTACCTAGGCAAAGATTAACTATTACAGGTTAAGCGTCTGGTTCTTTTTTTACTGCCTAGACTCACTCTAAATATTGTGCACACCACGATTTTCACTGAATTATTAACACCAAATGGTACCTACTTTACCACTCGCTGTCAGGTTTTGAACTGGCTGTTAATAACTCAATTACTTATGACAGTATATTTAAAATATTATTTTCCATTTTTTTTCAGATAACCTCTATCAATACAAAATACACACTCTCCACAATTCCTCTACTTACAGCAGCAGCTAGTTGATTAATCCCAAGGTTTCTCTCATTTATTTTCTTCCCTCTCCACTCCACCAAGTATTTTTTAAATTTCAGAATATTGTATACACTCTTTCAGTGTTTCCTAAAGAAAACCTAGAGTTTGTTCATCTATCAGTTTTTGTTGTATCAACGCATCCACGAGTAAGAATAAACATCTAAAACTTTTCATATCGATATAACCTTCACATACAGAGCATATTCATTCCTATAAAATGCTCCCTCCCTTAACTATCGTGCAGGGGAACAATAATAAACTCGGTGTATTGTGATGCAGCTCAATAATCTGTGTTTGTGGTGCTGAATCCTGAACTCTGAAGCAATGACAATTTATTGTATGTTCATTCACTACGCTCTTCCTTTGGCCAAACAAACAATTAATGCTCACAACTGATACTGTCTTAAACATTGTAATTAATTAATTTTACTTATTTTTAGCCTATTTCCTTTCATTGTATCCTTCAGGCAAATCACTGTTGCATGCCTCATCTACGACAATGCTTAGTCCCCCAATTCTCCTGTTGCTTATTCATAGCAGATACGAAAGGAAAAAAACCCTCACAGTGACTCACAACCTGCTGATTTCCATCTACAAATGATGTTCCAGTTGTGATCCTAGGGATGATAAAGTGTGTCCTATAACTGTTTAGCCATATACAGAAAAAGCAGAGTGTAAAAGCAAAGGAGGGGGGAAGTCTGAGGCAATATAGTCTACCTATATCAAAACCGTAGGTTGCTATTTGCAGTATCCTGGAGAATGCCACAAATACTTGTTCCATGTTTTGAGGCCCATTCTGAACCAGAAATGGCTGTAAAACCTTAAATTTGAAAATCTGGATCACAGTTCTGATGTAATGTGTGTCACACACTACATTTCCTAAAACTAAAAAATAAATCTTTCAAAAAACACATACCTCTTGTTCCTCAAAAATAGGCTGATACTTCTCAAGTGACAATTTTTTAAGGATGCCAGTCAGCTCATCTGTAATAATAGAAAACAAAACAATACCCCCTCCATGGATCAGGAAACATTTTAGTGATCTCTGCATACATGATAAACAAAAACCCAATCACATTTAATCTACATCAGAAATTAAAATATTGGTTTAAGGTGTTCTTACCTACTTTCACAAAAACCTTACCTTGCTAGGATAAAATATTTCTGTTGTATTGGCATTTCTTCCTCATTAGAAGCATCTTAAAAAAACCAAACCACTAAGAACAACTCAGATCATGCAAGTTAGACAGCAAAACTCCTCAAGCAGGCCATGAACTGAATGGCACGTTTCCGTGTTATGATCCACTAGGCACAGTGTAGAGCAAACAACCACTCAGCTGCTCATTCAAACCACTGAAATAACAGGGGTATATCTGAACCTCTTCTCCTTAAGTGCCTGACATTCAGGCATCTTGAACACATATAGCTGAAGTCCAACTAAGATGAAACTTGGACACAATTTAAGTTTCACTTATTTCACTTCTTTGTCTTTTGACTGTCTCTTTTCTTTCATCATTAGCAGAAATTTGGAAGAGAATCTCACTCTCTAAGCTTATCAAAAGATATCCAGTATCTTACGATGGACACGCTTTTCTATGCACCACTCTGGAAGCCCCCTTCTTTACATAGAAGATTCCACAGAAAACTGAAATGAAAAATTCTAGTTGAGTCTTATTTTCTGCCAGGGGTTTGATATTTTTACCTCAAGGCCAATTAATCTGACATGCTTAGCACAATCTGTAAACGCTGACATAGTTTCAAGCTAAAAGTCTAGGTACCCTTACTGAGGTTAATCTATGGGAAAAGGTAACCAGCTTTAAAAACAGCATGAGAATTTCTCCAGGCAGTTTGACGAAAAATATCACCTTACAGAAAGAAAGTAAAAACTTCATTAGAAGACCTCAGATATATTATTAGCTTTTTTCTTTTAGATAGTTTGTTAGACTTTTTTCATCACACTAGCTTAAATTACAGGTTGTGATATAAGAAGAAAAATTCAGGGTCTGAGCCCAGAGTCTTGCTGTCATGAACAACTATAATATTTAAAACTTCACACAGAGAGACAATGTGTTCAGCTGTCATCCTTTCGTGTTTTCTTCTCTCCCTCTTCCAGTGTCTGTATGACACATTAAGTTTGAACAAAACCAGAAACCTCTCTGTTTTACAACTTTTGCATAGCCTATTGTTTCTCCTTGGCTTTTTCACCATGTCTTTCTTTGCTCTACTCATATCTTGCATTCCTACCCACATCCCTGGAAACAGCAAAGGTTCTCAGAGCTCTTGCTTCTTCTTCCATATTACTCCTATTTAGCACCTCCTTTTGTACTACTCTGTAGAAGCAGGGTAAGATTACCTTTCTCCAAGATTTCAGAGCCTCCTTTTATTCTCACATGGTTTCGTCGGTCATGATTCTCTACATCACTGGTTCTCAGAAGAGGGACAAGCTGTTGATGATCCACCAAGTGGTTGCCTAAAAAGAAACCATGCACACCTCTGAAGCCTGCCTGCCTACTGTTCCTCCACAGGAATACTCAATGCAATTTTCTAATTTAAGTTTACTTGAAGGAAAACAAAAAAGTAATTGATATTCTGTTTCAAATACAGTAATAAGACATTTTAAAATAAAATGTTGTAATTTAGACCTAAAAGTTTGACTTAAATGACAGTAATTTTATTGGAAAAGTAATGACATCATTACCCTTTATTATGACCTGAAGTTAAAAGTAAGGTCAAAATAAGGCTACCTTTTGCAATTTAAAAAAATAAATGCAATAAAGCTCTTAAAAATCATTTGCATGTAGCTAAGACATGCTATGAATTAAAATTGTATGTCTGTAGTGATGTGCTTCACCACATTTATTAAAAAAACAAAAACAAACAAAACAACCCAAACCAACCAAAAAACACAGAAACATTTTGAATATGGATAAAGTGCATTTTCTACCCTCAGCAAAGGGTGTAAAACAGGATTTAATCCAGGAAGGAGGGAAGAGTGGAGGCCACATTAAGAGTAGCCTACCTACATGCTCTATGCTAGCTTTAGAGTGGCATCAATCTCCATCTAAATGGGGCAAAATAGCCAGTTACTGCAGGAATGCCAATCCTGCAATAAGAAACACCAAAGTATTTTTTTCTGGAAAGAAAAAAGTTCTCACTCACATGCAGATACACACTAACCCAGTACAGTTACAGCTTTAAACACTTTGTGCTCTTGATGAATAAATCTCCTATCAACCCAGTGACTGACTCACCATCATCTGTAATAGTACCACTGCTGGAACCATTGCTCTTGGCCTGTCTGTGAGAAGACAGAGAGGACTCTGTGTTGTGAACCTTAGGAGATGGGGAGGGTGACGGGGAAGGTGTGAGAGTTGGTGATGTGCTTTTAGATGTAGATGAAGTCCCAGATGGAGGTCTTTTGTTCATTTCCAGTTTTTGCTGTAGCTAATGATACATTCATTTCAATAAAAAAAAAGATAAAATTATGTTATATATGATGCTTGAATATTACTTAAATTTTCTATAATATCTACAGAGCATGTAGTTACAATCAGAAGCTTCTGCTTGATACATACTGAAATAATTTAAGCAATACTGATTTATCCCAGGTGAGTCCGTCCCCTTAAATTCATCAAGAAAAGTACATTTATTAAGGCTGTAATTCTGGAATGAGAAAATGATTTCTTATAAAGCAATTGTGTATACAAGCACAATTACTCTTTTTATAAAAGCTGAAATTACTTTGACTCTGAAAACAGGTCTTTTTCATTCAGAGATTTAATTAAATAAAGAAAGCCTCAATTAAGGCTTTTCAGTGGACATCAGATGCTAATTTAAAATAGCATTTCATGCTGGATTAACCAGCAATATGTAGCAAGCATAAACTACTCTGTGCATTTAAACCCCTTGCTGCACTGGAATGAAAGTTTCCAGTCAAACCTTAAACTTGACATGAGTCAAATGATTCAAGTTTATTAAATATTCTGCAAACATTTAATATATTTGGAGACATAGAAAATACATGAATTAAAGTGAGGAATAAGAATATATACATATGTATATATGTTACCATATCAGTCTTTTCCAAAACAAGTTAATATCCTACATCTTCTAAATTCCTCAATCTATGTATCACTTCACAAATTTCAATGTCGGCCTTATGTGACCTAAAAAGAAGTGTTAGGTGATTTTCTCCTCGATTCCTAAATTAAGGGTTTAACTTAAAGTATCTTTGGTCAGTCAGGCTGCTACAAGGAAAACACTGACAAAGTTGAGCTGAGTAACAAGACAAGGGAAAATGGCAGTGGTTCCTGCCTCTGTACAATTTTGCTTCTGTGCTATAGCATAAATGAAACTTTTCTACAAAGAGATGAATATTAAAAGATAAAACTTATTTGAGTGGTAACATGCTTCTATTACTTTATCCTATGCCAGAATGTGCTACCTCCTTAGCCCTGCATTAAATTGACTAAAAGCAATGTAGCATGATACAAATTTGAGAAGTCTCTGAAGAGCAGTGTGAACTCATTTCAAATTTTTTGCCCCAATCCCTGTATTTTCTTATCGATCATTTGTGATTCAGAATGGTCTTCCCTCTCAAGTGCACTGTCTGCACTTATTTAAACTACATCATCCTGTGAAATGTTACAGTTTTCCTTTAAGGCTTGTACAATCCCACCCCTCACAGGTAACTTCTACAAAATTGATTAGTATAAATATTACCACATTTTTAGATCACTATTTCCAAGTTCAGACAGCATGATCCTAATGGGAGGGCACGAGCACTTCTACAATGGGTATTAAATTTTCAGCATTTATAATGTTGATTACAAAGTAGTCTGTTTAAGCTTTTGCAACCAGAGTAGGTCCACTCACGATTCTGTACTCCCAACAGCCACTGAGTCCCAAATATCACCTGAGATGTGATACACTGATTACATGTTTTGTTATTGTTGGGTAGACAGAAATTTATCTAAGTATCTAAGCAAAGAGCACTGAAAGAGCTGTTGCTTTTCCAACATACTGGCATAATTTTTATCCAAAAAATTTTTCAGAAGTACGATGAACTCCCTTCCTAGAAGATGATCTGCATGGCACTGCATCTCATTATTATTCTTTATCCCCTAATGTCTTCCACTGTGGGAATAACAGTGAAACTTCCTAGTGGCAGTAACAGGCCCCAGGAGCTGCAGCCCAAAGCTCAGTGGCACAGGTATTATCTCTTAATATGCACTAATGTAAATGGAGAAAAATAAGATTTGGGGAGGGCACACAAGCAGCTCTTCTGAAATTATTTCCAAGATAAAAATAAGCTGAGAGTAACTGCTGAGAACTTAATTAGAAATACATTGGTCAGACCACCTCTGAAAGAAAAAGCATTTGGTAACTGTTCAGTAGAGGAGACATTAATGAGGGAAAAGGATAATAAAGTGGTTTTATCTGAAGGAAAGAAAGAGACATATCTTTTATAGCCCCAGGAGCAGCTATGTGGGATAGAAAGGGAGGAAAGATAATCATGTGCCAAAGCATCAGTATGAGTCCATAGCTTTTGGGCAGAGTAATACATTTTATCTCCAAATCTCATTTTTGAAAAGAAACCATTAGTCCTTTCAGAATCAGGACTGATAGATTAGAGATAAAATGGCTATTCATGGAAACTGTTTTGGCATTGGTAACTGCTCACTTTTCTGATTTTTGTCCTCAAGAAATTTCCATTAAATCACTAGACAACTTCATAACTTATCATTGATATTTACTGATTAAATATAAATATTGCTTACTGTTGTCATTATAAGACATCACAGAAAGAGACAGCGAAGGTAGCAACTCTGGCCATTTTTATTTCTTTAGGCAAAACTTCAAGAAGAATCTCATTAAAGGATGCCAAGAAAACAAAACAAAGCAAAACAAGCTGTTTGAAGATTACACAATCAAAAAGCTGAGAAATTTTGCCCTTGGTCATGTATTCTAACACTGTCAGAATACCAGACATTTGAAGTAAACCCCCAAATTATGTTCCTTCTTTCTCTTGATCTCTGAAATGCAATGCTTCCCTGGGTGAATAAACTCATACATTTCACAACAGTGTATCACATCTTCCCTGATGATGTTGCTTTCTAACTTGTGTCTCAGCAAATTTTAAAGATTTAAAATCTTAATCTTTAAAAAGTTTTGTACAAAGCAGTTGTTAACTTCAAAGAACATGCACTAAAATGCGCAGGTCATGAGGGCAATGCTATCCCAGGAAATTCATAGGCAAGTCAGCACAGATAATACAGCTTGTACTCAGAAGCAAAACCCTACCGCAGTGACAACTTAATGTCCATGCTGTTTAAAAGTAACACCCTCTGGAGCAGACTAGATACATACTGTTGTGGCTGACAGATTCCGGTACAAATTATCTGAGTGTTGAGCACTCAGGTTGTGCCTTTGGAGGGAAACTATCTATAACACTTCAAAATAAAGCCCAGGAACCACAAATATAGAACACAGGACTCAGTCAGGACCATAACAGGAAATCAAAATTAAACAGAGTGAAATAAATAATAAATCAAAATCATGTTTTATTATTAGGTCTGACCTTTTGTAGACTTGTAATTAAAAGAAAGGTTTGTGGAGCTGAAGAGTTCTGTAACAGGTGTTCATTCATTTTAGGCTGTGTGAGGTCTTGCAGTTACATTTATCAACCATCTATGACTGAGAGATGACCTATTAAAATTAGCCAGTTTGGAAGCACAAATTTTTCTGTACCTTTACAACGTGTCCGTTGCCAACAACTTGAGCACACTGCAAATCAGGCAGAGTGGATGAAGGAGTTGTCTGGATTGGACTATTCTGCTGGTTGGGTTTCTGTTCAGGTAAGCCTGCTGCTTTTCTTCTTTGCGCTGCAATCTGAGACAAAACATTATCTGCACTGCCACCTAAATAAAAAAAAAGAAAAAATTGAAATAAAAAGAGTCAAGGAAACCACCATTTTAAAATGTTTGTGAATTCTCAATTCCCTTCACTACTCACTTCCTTTTAAAAACTGACTGGATGTAGTAAGAGAGAGAGAATTGTAAAGTTTAGACCTGTTCAGCAGCTTTCACAAAAGAGAACAAAAAACAATCAGAGGAGAAGAGAGAAGCCAGGTTTGTCTATGTACACAAAAAAAAAAGCTGACTTTCATACTCTCAGATACACATTTCATGAGCTGCTTCACCATATTGTCTTTACAGCTGCCAGATACAATGCTTGCAGCTTTTATTTTAATTAAAAGCTGATTTTTTTGTTTAAAACAAAAAGCAAGCAACATGGGTTAAGAGACATCTATGAAATGTATGTTGCAATAGATCCATCATTCACCTCATCCATTCTGGGTGGACTCAACAATATCAAAATACTTTTTCTGAGACAGGGACTAACCTACGAGACTTCTGCAAGGGATATGAGGCTTTTCTTCCCTTAGGTAGGTGTACACAGTCCAATCCAACAAAAATTTACAGAGCAGTTTTGTTTACGTGGCAGTAGGAGCCCTCATCATAACAAACAGTATTTTTTTAACTGAACCAGATACAAATGACTTTCTTATTAAAACAGGTACCTGATCTGTTATGCAGCTCTCCTCCATGCCTATTAATTCCCGCAATGTTGTTGGATCCACCAGAAGAATGGGGAGAATGGTTGAAGTTGTTGGAATTTGAAGGAGATGCAGGTCTTCTTGCAAATGTTGGTAATTTGACTGGTCTAGTACCTTTGCTAACAGATGTCTGGAAAATATAAAGAAATTAATTTTCATCTTTCTTGATTAAGCAAAATAAAGGTCAAACTTCAACTGCTATTTTATTTATTGTAAATTCTGAAACTTCCAGTGACGAACAGGGATTATCAGAAATAATCTTATTTTACATATATACTGAATATGCAGTTATCACAGAATCATAGAATGGTTTAGGCTGGAAGGGACCTTAAAGATCATCTTGGTCCAACCCCCCTGCCATAGACAGGGACATCTCTCACTAGATCAGGTTGCTCAAAGACCCATGCAACCTGGCGTTCAACACTTCAGGAATGGGGTAGCCAGAGCTCATCTGGGCGATCTGTGCCAGTGTCTCACCACCCCCACAGTAAAGATATTTTTCCTAATATCTAATCTAAATTTACCCTCTGAATATGTATATTCAACAACAGAAATGACACCGTAGTAAAGGCATTAATTCTCAACCTTTGGCCAATATAAAATGACTATAAACGAGACACCTGAGACACAATATACACAATACTGCAGGGGGGTGGGGGGAATTGTCATATGTGAAACTTCTTTCCTGCAGAATCCTGGTTTTGACTCTCCCGTCTTACAAAACAGCTACCACCTACTTATCATCCATATCCTTGTTTCTTACTATGCTGCAACAAGCAACATGAACTTTCTCTCCTCCAGTTGCATTTTAATATCCCTGCATCATTTTATTATTGTTAACTGAGGCACTAATGATCTACCTATAAACTAGCTAAATCCTCTGCCACATCCACATTCTCCAATTCTTTTGATTTTAGACCACTGACAACCATCTGACATACGGCTCCTGCAACTCAGCTTTTTTGTGTTTCTTACCCTGTTGCTCAAATTACTTCTTCTAACTGATTTACCAAGTTTCGCTCCTTCCCTCACTTTATAAATGGGTGCCAATTATCCACATAAGTTATAATCACCTTTTTTTAGGATGATGAAAACTTACCTTCTTCCTGTGATCTAATACTTCCCCTTAGTCCACACCTGAATTACCTCAACTGTATTAAGCTAACTTTCACTCAAAGAAAGAAGACAGAAAAAAACCTCCTAAAATGTTTTCATTGTCCCATTTTCTAGAACTGACATGAAATACAGTTCTGGACTAATACAATAAACTCTTCTCTACACTTGACTATCAGTCTAAATTCAGGGGAGCAAGCATTTCTCCTTTTCCTCCTCGTAATCATGAAAGTAAACACGGTCAAGTTTGTTTTGATTTGGCAAACAAGCCATTTTCTTTTGTGTTTTGTTTTGCGTTTTCACTAGAAACACTGAAGAATCGGACAAGTCCCTTCTACAAAAAATAGGATTTATTCAAACTTTTTTCTTTTTTACAGTACTTAAGCTTTAAGGCAGTATGCCTTCAAGCCCACTTGATCACTAATTGCTACAAATTTATCTATTACTAAGCTTTCAGAATGTTATGTCTGTGTATTTATGCCTCATTGATATTTCTTTTCTTCCCCCCAGTTGCTAAAAAAATGAGAAACTTTATTTTCTTCCGTTCCTAGTCATCTCCCAAATCAGAGCAGTTTCCACCATACTCCAATGACTATAGCTACTTTGGCAACTAAAATATACAGGTGGAACCAGCAGCTACATTAACAGTTTATGTTAGGCCTTGACTTTATTCTGGTTAACAGCAAACAAGTCATTTCATACAACACTTTTGTTCCATTTATTTTCCTTCTAGAGAGATGTGTATTCTTCCTACACAGCAGAACTTAAGAGGGCGAGCTATTACTGAGACAGTAGGTTTAAAGTAATTTCTAATCAGAAACACAGTGTGGCTTACCACCATGTCAGTATGGCCTGGACATAACACAGTATTTTTGTACATATTTTGATTGCTTACTATGTCAGAGTTCCCACTGCTGTTAAAATCATGCTTGATAGCTCTCTGTGGCCAGGCCGTTCTCATCTGTTCAGCTTTGCCATCTTTGCTGAGTCGTGTTCGGTCAGAATTCCAAAGCTCAAAACTTGAGGGTGGTAAGAAAGGCGGTATCACTGCTTTCAGTTTATCGCTGGGCAGCCTGGTAAAAGGCGCACTACTTCTCAACTGAGTGAGGGACACAAAGAAAGGGAAAACAAAAAGAGCCTCCTCTTAAGAAAGATTACTGGGAGCTTATGATATAGCTTCAAAATTGTAGGCATTTTTTAACAAAATAAAATGGAAACGAGACACAAAAGTAGTATTTGTGAAGATGTACAACACATAACCAATTCCAGTGGACATTCCAGCACCCATAAGTATGCTCATTAAGTGGCAGAAATTGTCCCTTCATTGGGCTGAATCTTGGTTCAAATTGATGTTAACAGGAATGTTAACAATTAATTTCCAAAGAAATAGAAGAAATAAACAATACAACTGATTTGGCTCCCTGGAGTTCTGTAAGTCACATCAAAAGTAGCTCAATCTTCTTAAAAAAAGAACATAAAGGATAACCAGCCAAATTTAATGACATCTCCAGGGGCTAAGCCATGGGGGAATTTAAAGCTACAGCATAAGAAACAAAGAAACAGAATAATACAAATAAACATCCCTAACTAAATATTTCATGGTTGCCTCTACTAATGATTTCTCACTTTTACACTGGTACCATGTTCCATCCATGCTTTCCTCACAACATACTGCATGTCAGCAACTGATCAGCTGTTCTATCTATTTTACTAATTAATTGCTACCGTACAGAGGTATAGGTTAACATTTTTAAAAGTCAGATTTTGTGAACAGCTTCCATACCATACTTCTTATAGTACTTCCTAGTCCAAGAACTACTGATGTATCACAGCCTGTCAGCTCCTGTCTAGTAACTATAAAAAAAATGATAGTTCTCTTTCTTGTGACTTGAATATGAGATTAAAAACAAAAAATTCAAATCATGGGAGCTTCATGACCTGAATGGAGATGAACTCCGCAAGAATACTGTGACATACCATCGTTGTCAATAATTCATCATCCTTTTCTCCTTTTGCAGTGTTTACACCTGAAAAATACATAAATGATGTTTTATTGTTTACACACTCTTACTTCTGTTCTCAAGGATAACTTACTGTTTTCAAACATTCGACAGCTTTACCCTCAGGAAGCACACAGAAATAAGATTTCCAGTGACATGGTATGTACCTAAATTAAATTTAGGCCAATAGTCTTATTTCCCATCACAATCTGGGGGGGGAGGGGGGGGGGGGAGGGGGTGGCATGGAGACCTCAATTTCCGTAGATACGCTTTACAATTTTGGCTTTTTCAATCTTTCTTTCTTCTGAGATTTATTTGTTTAAATAAATTGGTTTTCATTACGTAAATTAGTTTATCAAAGATACTAGCAGATTTTGAACAACCTGTCTCTACTGTCCAATCTAATAGTGCTTGCTACAGAACAGTAACATGGTTATGTTAGCATCTGCCTGCTTAAATGATACTATGCTCAGCGTTTAGCATGATCAACAATAAAGAGTACAAACGTCTTCTTTCCATATATTACAGATACATTACATGCCTTTTCAGTTATATTAAGCTAAATAAAAACAAAATCAATAGAAGTAGTATCATCGTAGCTAGCTCATGACAACTTGCTTCCCACAAGACAATTCTGGCTTTACCACTAGCTTTGTTATTTGTGATCCGAGCTGCAGCAGCATCAAGGTTTCCAGAGGTGCCTATGTCACTCTGCGAAACTGCTTTTATGGTGGAATTTAATGGAGGTTCAGGCTCATCAGGAAAAGGTGCAAACTGACTGGAAGGAAATCCATGGCGCAATGTCTGAGTCAACTTCAGCTTGCGGAATCGATTGGACATCCTGCTCCACCAGGACTAGATTGATAAGAAGACACAACAATTTAGTTCCAGCTAAAAGAAAAAAAAGAGGAAAAAAAATGCACAATTAAGTAATCCTTACAGCAGTGATAAATCTATTAAGACAGTTTTATTATCAACTACAAAAGCAATGTTAAAGTGGTTTGCAATTATCAACAGAATCCTTCACCATACTTTCTATGTGCAACAGAATTTTTTTTCCTTAATTTTTTATCTGGTAAATGCCTTACAGTGTTTTCCCACACTACCTAAGGTAAATAAAATATTTAGGAGAATTTGAACAGCTACATTGCAAATATTTACTCTTCCCATTATCTTCCAATTTCACCACATATTCTTACATACTCCCTGGCATCAAGGAACTGGCATGTGTATTTTCTGCTTTTCAGAGGTGTGCATAGAAGTTTATTTGATCTGCAAGAAGTTTCTCCTTAAGATTTTCAAAATCAGTGGCAAACTGGAAGAGTTCTGATAAACTACCAATCCACAGTCCATACAGTGCTCCTATACAGACAACTCGCTCTGCCAGACTGGAAAGGCTGTAAATTGAAAAGGAGCAAGGCAAGGAAGCATCAGCTGTGATGAGCACTACTGCACTTACAACCTGCAACCATACAGGTATCACATACATGAAAGCTGTTACACAAACGGATCATCTTCGCTCAAAAGAAATTTTATCAAAGTATTCACAAAGTTATACATTTTCATAATCAGACAGTGCAAGATGCTTCAAATATTTAGCAGGACATTTCTCTAGAATATATGAGATCTATAGGCTATATTAAGAAGACCTATGCATCTTCTAAATCAATCAGATTATAAATATCTTCTTTATGAAGCTGCTTCTTCCCTTTCCAGAGCGCTGTAAAAAAAATAACAAAGTTGTGTAAAAGTGATGATACTTCATCAAGGCAGCTTTATGGGATATCCCATCCAGATAATACACTCTCCTCTGTACTTGGCCATTCCGTCTCAACATACATATTCCCCTTTCTCCTTGGCATTTAACATTTTTCAATTGCTTACTGATATGCCTTCCCGACTATCATATGGCAGACACAGTATAAACTGTAAACTTATTCCCTGTAAACCAATCCTTCCAGCAGATGATCATTAAGATTTTAACTCTCCACGGAACATTAGTAATGGACAGACTTCACAGACATTTGTATCTCTTTGGAGCCGTAACTAAAATATTTACATTACTTTCAACAACAAAGAACTGATGGAAAAAGGCAAAAGAGACAAACAGTTCCAAGAAAGCAATAAACCCCACACCATTCAGCATTTATTCACCTTCCAAAAAGAACTGAAAGGGGAAAAAAAAAATCCATCTAGTTTTAATACACAGTACAATGACCTTACAAAAGAGACAGCTTGCAAAACATGTTTTTTGTTCCCTGAAGCTAGCTTGCTTCTGTAACAAAGATCACTTCTAAGTTCCTGTGATCTTTGTTACTTTTCTTCACAGTGCTTCTGCTTCATTAACATATGCTCACACCACAGACTAACCCAAAATGGAGTAAGTACAGCCACTATGTCACCATATAAAAACAATATTGCTCTGTGGCAAAAAAAAAAGAATGATAATGGAGTGGTTCATGCTGCACTCTGGTGTTCCTAGGATGGTGGTCTGAGCTCTGGATTTTCCAGTTTGCTACTTCAGAAAGTTTGGCCTCCCCATATAAGATACCACATCACACAGACAGAAGCTGGAATAAAGGGCTTTAAACTAGACTGAAGCAGCCAAGTAACAAAAATGTATCTGAGGGTAAAAATATTGCCTGTCAAAAGGATAAAATCTAGCAGTGGGAGAAGGCAATAGTATCAAAGAACACAAAAATGGTGTTGCCACTGAAGAAATACCTTAGACATTTGTAACAATGTTAGGAATGAGAGACTAAGGGGAAGAACTGGAAATTTCTTTCAGCAGACAACTTCAATCTAAACCAGAAACTGAACATGATAATTCACACTGCTCTAATTCTGACATTGACAATATAGCTTACTGAAGAAGCACAGAAAGGAAAAGAAAAGAAACAAGTTTTTGCATACGGAAATGATACAACTTTGCTTTCAAGTCCACAAAATGGTGAGTAAAAAAAAAACATCAACAGTTCCTCTGTGAAACAGGTAAAGAATAAGATCCTGGTTATCCACTACACAATCAGTAGGTAAAAGAGCAAGGTCCTGTGTTATGCATAACTTGCAAATAGAACCTGCACACAACAAAATAAAAAGTCAACTAGTTAATGACAAAAGTGACCAAACAGGAGACACAGAAAAGAGAAGGGTTTTTATAACTTCAAAAGCAGACAACTTGTGATCAGATATTTTAGTATGAATGCCACTAACAGGAGGAAGGTAGGAATATATGTGCATTTGATAAGAAAGTAAGAATATTTAAATGAGCTTACACAAATTAAAACCTGACAAGACTTACTAAAATTACCCTAGAGTAATTATAGACAAAACGATCTCAGAACAAATATAAATTATCTTCAAAATAAGTTAGGATGACAGCAGAAGTTACAGGACTCAGGCAAAAGGCAAATACATAATCATCCTTATCCAAAAGGGGAAAACCTGAAGATTTACTGATCACAAAGCTTGACTGCGAAGGACATAACTGAACATACCAAGTATGTCATCACAGACAAGAGCTGGCACCAGAATAAACTGCACCACATCAATCCCTCTCTGACAGAGTAACTGGTCAAGTGGGCAGAAGGGAGGAAAAGCTGGAACATAGCTTGACTTCAACAAAGCTTTTATCGCTATTTCGTGTAACATTCAAACAACTGAGCAAAACATGGCTCAAGTAAAATTAATACAGGGAAAGCATCATAGCAAAAAAACCCCTAACATATTAGGAGACAAGAATTTGATCTCAAACTGAGAGGACGGACTTTGTGGAAGACATCTATCTGGACAGTTTTGTAAGCACCTTAGATACTCTAATTTTAAGCACTAACAAAATAGCATCATTCTCTCAGGTGGGGTCAAGCTGACATGTAAGAAGAAAACAAGTGTACAAATACAGAAAAGGAAATAAGCAGCAAAGCAGCTGTACTGAAGAAAAAGACAGCTGTAACATATCACAAACTAAATATAGATACAGTGTCTCACTGCTACAAAAAAGGTAAATTTTACAGAAAACAACATAAAATTCACAACTATGCAAGTTGTTTATGTATGCTACTATGTTATACTGAGACCCTAGTTGGAACCCCATGACTCATTTTGGCTCCGTCACCTTGATAGATAAGACAAATCAGAAATAGTAGGAAACTTAGGGAAAATAACTTGCAAATAAAGAAATTTGAATTATTTTTGCTTAGTCTGGAGAAAAAAAGAAAAGCTATTGAAGAGACTATGATAATTCTGTAAGTATACAGTTCTTACAAAATTGAAGGCAGCCACTGAGAAAGAATCAATCAACTTAATATGCAGCAAGAGACACATAGATAAGATCAGGGCAAAAAAAAACCCTGACCACAGGAAACAACAAGCAGCGGAACTGGGTGCTAACGGAGATCATGATAAGGAAGAGAGAACGGAAACTTCCCTCAAGGATATTCTTGGCATGTTGATTCTGTTCTCCTGTGTAAAGGCAGGTGAGTCTCCTGAGTTCCCTTTCATTTTTACATTTCCACAATTCTGCAGACCACATATTCTGTCATTTGCACCAATATGGACACAGAATTTATGTACTGGCTGAGTCACCCTAACCATCTCTCGTTTACAGTCCTAACCCAGCATAGAGCAGTTGTCCACACAGAAGCAGGGAGGAACCAGGAGAGGTCCCTCACTGCAGCACTCTCTCCACATGCTGGTCCAAAGAGAGGCGAGTTTGATCATAGAATAGTTTGGGAAAGAACCTTAAGATCATCCATTTCCAACCCCCCTGCCATGGGCAGGGACACCTTGCCCCAGATGACATCCCCCAAGGCTCTGTCCAACCTGGCCTCGAACACTGCCAGGGATGGAGCTTTTACCACTTCTTTGGGCAACCTGTCCCCAGAGAAGTGCTGTCAACAAGGAATTCAGAACACACACACACACAAAAAAGTTACATATTAGATCCAAAGTACTTCTTTGAAATCACTTTCTCTGCTTCGTACATTACAGGAAACAACGCATTGGTTATTTATTAAGAATGAATATATTTACCTTTAGACCTCCTTTGTCATCTGGCAATATTGGGACATTTAAGGACTGCCTACTTCTGGAACAAGGCAAAGATGATCTGTTGTTCAGTTTATTTTTGTCTTTGTCTGCTTGCATGCATGCTGATGCCAGTAACCGTACAAGCTCTGTGTCTGAAAGAAAACAAATTAAAATAACATTTAGTCTGTTTTGCTTTCCCAAATTATGACTGACACACTGACACTTTTCCTATAAATCCCCATATAATTTGCAATTGATCTATCTCTCAAATACAAAGCAGCTGAATCCCCAAAGCCTTCTTTCTCAAGCTACATTTCCCACACCTTCTCCCCACACAGTGGGCTGCAGTCTTAACATCACCTCTGTAAAGGTATTTATAAATATAAATTAGCATGCTATTCAGTCAGAATCAGTCATGTGTAACCAAGCGAACTGCCTCCTGTCACACTTCATAGAAGTTAAGAATGATATTGTGATGCTCCCTTTTCTCACCTGACACAGAAGAGAGTAGAGAAAAACAAATATTCTTTCTTCAAGCGTAGGTTGCAGAAAAGAAGCTTGAAATTAAATCCCAAAGAGAAAGGAGATGTTCAGCCTGGACAATGAAGGGACTGAAAAGACATGGTAACAAAAAAGGAGAACAAAAAAGAACACAAGAAAGCAAGAGGAAGAAAAAAGAATGAGCATGAGATAAGGATAGGAAAGCAAAAAAACATTCTGTAAATCTGTATTTTATACAGAATCATAGAACAGTTAGGGTTGGAAAGGACCTTAAGATTGTGTAATTACAACCCCCCTGCCATGGGCAGGGACACCTCATCCTAGACCATGTAAGTCGGGCAGTACTTTCAGAAGGGCAGACAGAACTGACTTATAGATATATACTGACAGGTAACAAGACAAACTCCTCTGTCACACAAGAAATTATAAAATAATCCACTGTATTTATTTTCTAAAATTTCATACTATTAATAATTTACTTTGACAAAGAAAAGGTACCTGCTAGTAACCAAAACCACCATAATGAGTAAATAGAGAGGAAACATTAATTCCATAGACAGCAGTGGCTTTTGGCTTCAGATAAAGCAATTCAGGTACCAGGCAAGGTTAACAATAACAAATTACATAGGCTAAACAAATTATTTAGGCTAAACAAACTACAACAAAACCTAAATTAGTTTCATTAAGTTTCCCCAAGACATGCTGCCTTTTTCCAAAGCACTACCATAAAAACAGCCTGAACCCTGAAGTGTGATTTATTCTCAGACTTTAGAGAGCTAGTGGGAGGTTCAGCCAGGAGTTCACTGTTTTTGTTCTGATTGCACTCTCTTTGTTCTGTCCCTTTACTGCTGTTTACCCAGTTGAAATTTCTAGCTCCAGTTCATAGCTCTGTGCTAATGACACTACAGAATACCTGGGCCACTACAGTCAAATGCCACTAAACTGGCTCTGGTGACACAAACATCACATTTTGGAGCATCTTCAAAAGCAAAGGCAAGAGGAATGCATGAAGCCCATAAATATGCACACTCATCTAACCCATTAACTGAAACCCACCATTTTCAGGCAGTATCCTTTCTTGGTCCAGTCCAGCCCAGTCCTCAGAGGATACTCCTAGCAGCTTTAACATATACTCTAGATCGGAAGGGATGTTTATCTGTTTATGTTGTATGTTTTCTCAGTGCTCTTTGAAATAACATACCTGGATCATTAAGGAGCATTATTAGGTCAAACGCTGTGTATCCATTTTTGGCACGAAGATTGACATCAGCTCCCTGATTTAACAAACACTTGACAACGTTTTTGTTTCTTTAAGGGAAGAAAAAAAGGCATTGCTTGTATGAAAAACAGAACAAAATAAAACACTAATACTCCATTTTATCCTTTTATATCATTGCTCCTCAATTAGAAATCTGTTCTACCTTTCCTACAGCTAACCAAGTCTAAAATTTGTTCACAAGCTCTTCAAAAGCTCCCATGATTCCTTTATCAATCACTGTTTACTCACTCTGAATTATACTAATCAACATGCAGAAAGTCAGCCTAAAAACCCTAATCTGAATAGTCAGTTTAAGATGACCTTTCAGAACTGACTCTGGAATTTGTTGCCAAACACCTTCCCAAGGAAAGGAGATGAAAAGACAAAGTACAGCCCAGTAGTCATCATACACCATCACTAATACTTCAACACAACTTCATATTCAGAACAGATGAGAAATTGCATATAGAAAAGCCAAACTGACTGAAGATAATTTACAAACTCCAAACAGTTAATTAGTACTTTAGTTTTTTGAGGTGTTTAAAATACAAAACCAATCAGCATTAAATGTAACCAACACAAATATGTTCCTACAAAGGCTCATAAAAGCTAGTTGCATGAATTCACCATCCTGTTCCCATTAGCCTCTCTCCCTTCTCAAACACCTGAATAAATAAGCAGGACTTGCCTTGTGAATTAAAAACAATACTGTAATTCAGCCTCCAAAACTCCTCTTGAGCAGAGACTGACCTTGCATAAAAACAAACTCTGACATGCACAAGCAACACAGAGCAAAAAATGTTCTTAAGTAGCAACAGGTGACTGCAAATTCTAATGCTACAGCTGACAAAGAGATCTCAACTTGTCTACTTCATTTCACACTATAAAGACTGATTGATATAATAGGGAAGAGTAATTTTATAACACAGCCCTCCAGGAAACTGTGAAAGGCAGTATATGAACACAGACAGCACTCAGCTGCACTCTGTTCTTCCACAGACAAGAGGAGTGCCCGAGTACCAGCAAGGGGACATGACAGCATGACCTGGCTGCTTCTACTCTAGCTGTGTGCTGGGGTAGCTGCTGATGAACAAAATCGCTGCACCAGGAAAACAGATTTTCAGGCACTTCCCATTAAATGCCTCTTGCTACTACAGCTACTGCATTAGAGAGGAAGCAGAGAATCTCATCTTAACGTAGGTCCCACGAACTACATCAGAAAATTTGCACAAAGCAGTGACAACTTGACCTCCTATTTTCCCTTCTGTTGCACTTTCATAGTCAAGTAAGATCTGATGTCTAAATATAAATGCTGGATCAGAATATCTGCATTTGTACAATTAATGTGAGCATTAACCAGCAGTGAAGTGAATCTTCACCTTGCTGAGGGCCTCGTCTACAGCAATGGAGAAAAGTTCCTAAACTGAATATCCTGTATTTAGATAGTGTCAAATATATGACAGAGATCACATCTGAAGAACCAGGCCAATTTCTGGGGTCTGACTCTTAAGTGCCTACCTGCATTTATAAAGTAGCTTTAGAGAAGTTGGCAATCAGTTGTCCAGTGGGTGCAATTCTGAAAACACCATGAGAACTAAAGACTGAACAGGGGAACATATGAAGGGTTTTAAGACTGGAAAATATGGCATATAAAAGGGTCATTGCTTTAAAGTTTCACAACTTGATGTAGGCCTATAACCCTGGCAGGGGGTGATACTCTCTTACAAAAGACTAAAAAAAAAAATCAAAGGATGGAAACTGAAATCTGCACTAAAGCTCCTAGTGCCTGCCTGGAGCACTATGTTCCCAGCACTTACTGACCAAGCTTCAAGTTCCCAGATGTGCCACTCATTCTAAAATCCAAATGGCATTGAAGTCTGCTCTGAAAAGCAGAGGCCAGTGCAAGAGTCATGGAAAACTGAGGTCGTAAGTCTCTCAAAGTCTTTTAAAACCTCTCTGCTTCCAGAGTCAGTATCAAAAAGATTTCATTCTTCCTACATCCCGACAGAACAAACTTTTTTACTGCTGGACCCAAAGAAAGCGTATCTCTTACCCATGGTATGTGGCCTGCATAAGTGCTGTCCAACCATGAATATTATCCTGTTTGTCAATATCAGCATTTTTCTCAACAAGGAGCTGAACAAGGGGCAGCTGTCCAGTTACAGCTGCAATCATTAATGGAGATGCACCGTCAACATTAGTAATATTGACCTGACTTGGGTCTTCCTCAACAATCTCTTTAACCAGCTGAAAATTTCCTGCAAGACAGTGATAAAACAATCTACATGAGCAACAGAGTTTAATTCAGCTTAGCCACAGAATTAAAATGTATTTTGATATGCAGATATTGGTCTACATTTAATGGAATTAAAACAAAAAATAAAGTACTAGAGCAATTGTAACACTAAAGCTAAGTATTTCTACTGATCTTTGGTCCCAGCTATTCAGCCTATCTTCCTTACATAAAAGGGTGGCATAAGCATGAGGTTTTGTTTTCTCGCATTTTCCCTACCTGTACCCTCGCAGTACAATTCCATCACTAGAATCATTTTCTGAAATGAACTAAGGCTGTAAAAACTGAAGGGTACCTCACATGTGAAGCCACAAGTAGGGAATATTTCTGTAAAATTGTTGTAAGATGGCGTTGTGCAAGGGAAACTGACGATGCTGAGACACCATGATTTGTCCTTCAGCAGGACAAAGATCCCTGTTCCAGGGAAAACATGATACTGAACATATTTTAACCATTTTTTTTTTCCAAACCTTAATAAAAGTAGGAACATGAACTTTTTAAAAATTTAAGAGACAGTCAGGGTTAACTTAAGCAGAGAGCTCAAGCTCACGCACCTCCCCTACATTTTTATGACACGTGGCAGGCAAAATCAGGGAAGAAGTCAAGAGGAAAAAAAAAAAAAAAAGATCTCTGTGACTGAACACCTACCATGGTAGGAACAGAGGCAAGAAGCAGCAAACCATCAACTGCCACGCAAACAGAAACATTCTCACCTTTTAAAAAACCTTCACATGGTAAATGGCTTCATGACATAGGCTGCCTTCAACTCAATCACAGGCATTAACATTTGCCTTGGAAAGCCAGCCAAAACCCCAAACTGCAGGTTACTTGCATGCATTCACTAAAAACTAACACCTACCTGCACCACCCAGCTAATTTCTTGGAACAGGAAAGATAAAAAAGCACAAAACTACTTTTTCATGTTCCAGTTTAGCAAAAAACAGCAGGTGGTTTTCTTAACACAGACCTGCATCATAGACTTTGTTAAACAGAAACCCTGGAAACTACACAGACTCCAGAATTGACTTTGAACTTTGGCATGGACAATTCTTAACCTATCATGTTGGGGTTTTTAACACTGCTGCCATCAATAGCCAAGTATTTCAGAAAAAAAAAAAAAAAAACAAACCCTAAAGGAGTATGCTGACCTGGGGTGCTGATGTGGCACCCCTCCAAGACTCCTGACCCAGCATCAACATTTATAAATCTCAAACTAGAAGTCACAGGGGTAGAAAAAGGGCAGCTGAACTATAAAATCTGACAGACCTGAGATTTTTTGGTAGCTTGAATCTCTCTAACCTGCCAAAGAGATTGCAAAGAGTTTTCTGACCTGTGACATTATTAGGAACCAGATCAGAAAATTAATAGTTTTGTTTCCCATGCTAAAGCCATCACATAGCAAGCCTCAGGCCGAACACTTCATTTCAGCACCTTTTCCTATGCTGGAAGATCCAGGAAAATAGGTAACCACAAAGCAGCTTGCCATCCACTAAGGGTACATCCATCAGAGCCTGGATCAAATTTAAATCAACAGGATGGCACTGGCTCTGTCTGCCCCAGAGCAGTTTTACCAGTTGTGTGCTCAGGAAAGTCATTCTTACTCATGAGAGAACAGGCAATATCCAAGACACTTATTCTTTTCTTGAAACAACTTTAAAGAGCAATTACAAAGCTCATACAGAGTAGAGGCCAGCATACATTTTGCATCAGTTAGCACTTTTGTGTTTATACTTCAGGTTTATGAGGAGGAAAAAGAAAAAGCATATTAAAGGTAGCGTGGTCTTCGAACTACTAGAACTACTACATCACACCATTTTGGTATGGAGGGCGTAGCCAGGAGCTCATAAAGATTTTCTTTCTCCTATTGGAATGTGAAGAAAAATAAACTACAGAAACAAATGTATTTTTAAAATTAAAAACAAAACAAGGGAAAAACCAAAGTCACATGTAAAAACAGAGCACGTTTTGGTTTCCCATGTTAACAGACATGCTCTGAAGTTACAAGAACCAGACATGGTGGAAGAATCCTGTCAGCACTTACCCAATTTCAAAGCATGAAAGACATCAGGTTGCCTCTTTTCAATATCTGGAATAAATAGAAGCATTTCTGTTAGCAATCATTTAAAAAGACAAGAAAAAAAACTATTAAAGTTTTGATAGCAAAAACTGTTTAAAAAAACATAGTACTATAAAACGTAAGTTTAGATATGCATTTAATAAGAACAATGAAAGCACTGATAACCTTTTTATTCTTTGGAGAAGAATGAGTCACCTATATGGTTCTCTGTGCAGAGCTAAAGCTACAAACTATAATAAAGCATCAGTATAGGCTTTTTCCTTACAACCTCCATTCTCCATCAGGAAACTGTATTTGGAAACTTTTCTGTTTCCTGCCTGGAAGACTAAAATATCAATTAAAAACCCACAGTATAGTTCTGTGGTCTGGTATAATCCTCTGTACAACAGCAAACACTCAAATAGTTCAGGATTATTTTGAAAGGTGACTCAAAAGGAGTTTTACAAGCAGTCCCATTTTTATTTCCTCTTGACGACTGCCAGGTTAATTTATGAAGGTCACAAAAATAATACTGATGATTTAACTACACAGCTTACTATTTGTCCATTAATAGGTACCTTTCAGCTCCCAGATCACGATCCCCATAAGAAGAACTCCAATTATTACAAATTTTAGTATTTTGAGTGAAGGACCATTCCTTTGACATGCCTTCAAAGTGCTTTGAAACTGCTGACACTAAGATAAAAACAGTGACATATTTTGCACCTTCCACTTTTCCACAAGACAGAAAAATATATTCTCCTCCATCTTCCAAACCATTACTGACACTACAGAATCACTGGGGTAAAAAGACTTTAAGGAAAACAAGATGTTGGAGAGATTTCCCGAGCCAAATTCTGCCATTTTTATGGTAATAAAAGCAAAGGCTAATTTTCATAGCTTGACTTCAAAGGAAGTAATTTGAAAATGCTGAACAAATGTAATTGCTGGAAAGCCCCTCAAAGAAAATGAAAAATTCTTAAGATGGAGAAAGAGAATGGTGGGTCCTACATTTCCTCCTGTTTCAGAAACTGCACTCACTTGAGCTCAGAAGGAACTTCTTATGAGCTCACCATTGGAAAACAGATTTCAAAAGACTAGTTTAGCAAAGGACCAGATGCCATACTTCGCATGTGAAAAGCCTGGAAGAGAGGCAGCCTCAGGAGCACGAGACCATGAGGACATGCCAGAAGGAAGAACTGCCATTCAGGTAAACCAAAGCAAGGACAGGAGCAGAACTCAGTCAACAACCATACTATTTCAGGTAATTCTTAATTTGCTACTGAAAAGAGCCCTGATAAATGAGTTGCTTTCTTTTGGGAGGCAATTCATGCTATTTACGGCAATGGATCAGAAGACAAGTTCCTTTTTTGCTGCCTTCCATACGAGAGAAAGGATCTTTCTTATTTCCCAAGATATAGAAGACTTCAGTGCTAGAATGCAGAAATTTGTGTGGAAGCTCAACGTTTTCACTTCCAACTCTGCCCCAATTACCTACTATCCTTCTGCTGATAGAAACTCCCCCTCAGCAAAGGTGACAGGAATACTCACTCATCGGCTTTAAAGCAAGCCCACTCTCCTAGCTTAAACAGACGTCTCCAATATTTGAAGTCTTGTGACTACAGAAGACTTTCAAGACTCATCAGGCCAACTCTGCATGCATACAGATTCTGTACGTCCAAATGCCCGGGTAAGGCATAAAGCACTGCACTAGTGAATCCCAGAGGTGTCTTATTCCCTCTGTGTACTGCAATCAATTGATGTCTATTCCTCAGAGACTGTTCATCAGCAAACTTCTACAGTCAGCCAGCTCTGGCTGGCAGCACAGCTATGAAAGCCCTAGCTCCAATTTAACCTGAGTCAACATCTAAGTTAACACCTTCTCTAAAGCAGAAATAAATGTCAGATCTTTAACTTTCTTCTTAAAAGTACAAGGGAAGCTTGACCTGCAGGAATGACAGCAAATGTATAGAAAAATGTCCACACAGCAGTGTAATAGTGAAATAATTAGGCAAGATTTAAATCAGCCTATCTTTCATAAGTGGCAGAGAGCTTAGAGGGGACTATCCTACTCTACAGGCTTTTTGCCACCATGGCTAGATGGGTGCTAGCACCTGGAAAAGGTTCTTTCTAGGCCTACCCACATCCTTAGATTTTATAGTAAGTACTCCATAGCTAAAAAATCCAGATGCCACTCTTCCAAACCTTCTTGTTAAGCACCTCCCAACACTGGTCTGCATCATAAAGCATAAATACCTTGAAAAGTGTCCCCAACAGCCACATACAGAAAAAGGTCTCAATCTCTGAAATCACTTATTGACACTTAGATTTCCAACACAATGTCCAAACTAAACTATCTGATTTCAGCAACAGATTTAATGCATTTCTGCTAACATAAACTCCTGGAGAAAGAAAGAGAAGCAAATCCACAATACTTTAACAACACTAACATATGGTATTCATAACATTATGTTATTGAACCAGCTAGAAAGAAACACTAATTTTGAAAGATAGCTGCAATAAGTAAAAAACGTCTAAAAACTAAATTCATTAACATTTTAAACAGACAGGTGACAGCAAGTAGGTTAAGCCTACTACTAAGCAAAAATCCTAGAATTTACATACAAAAAAAAAATGTTAACTGAGCACAAGGGGTTTATTTTAGTAATTGGAAATAATTGGTAAAGACACACAATATACTATTCTGTCCTTCTGGTTGACTGTATGAAAATAGATATACCACTTAAGACTGAATGAAAAATATTGTAGCTTTAGGTTTGCTCACACCTTCCTTAGCCTTCACATCCCCTAGTATAAGGTATTACCTCTCTCTACAAAATCCTGGATTTCTTACCCCCTTCCACGCTCATGGCTAAAGTTACATGAACACTGCATATTCTTTAATCACATTGTGACAAAAATGTTTCTTTAGCAGTTCTCATCTCATTCACTGCACATAACAAATACATTACAGGGCAAAACTAAAAACCATAAAAGCAGCATTTCTTAACTTCATTTTAATTCAGATTTGCACTGAAATAATATTATTTTAAACCTAGTTTTGTACATACATGAACAGTGTGCATGCCTGCCTCTGTGTGCGCACACATATCCAGGCTGGACAGTCTTGGGCAACATGGTCTAGTGCAAGGTGTCCCTGCCAGTGGCAGGGAGGTTGAAGCTACAATATCTTAAGGTCCTTTCCAACCCTAACTATTTAATGAATCTATGATTCTAAGTCTGAAGGGAGAAGGTTGCTAATAAATTTTATGAAACCTTGAAGTTAACTAAGTATTACCCTCTCCTGCAAGGAACAGAAAAGTAAGGGACATGCCAACTTGCTATTCATCCACATTAATACTTTGTTTTCTTAGAATACACAATCCACTATTAAAGCACTTTCGGGAGGTTTCATAGAGAGTGGTAGAAAAAAAAGCATTAGGTTAACCTCATCTGGTTTTCTGCATGTCACAGGTCTTGTATGTGACACTCAGTGAAGACAATTCAATTATGAATTTGACCAAGGCATTTAACCTTGACTGTCAGAGATTGAACACTAAGATTCACCACAAAACATAGTGTCTTATTTCCCATTCAAATTCTTCTAGCTTTACAGTTTTGCTGGGTTTTTTTTTGGCTCCCATAAAAGCCCTCCAGTATTGGACTTCCTGTTCTTAATGTGAAGACTTTAATAATCACTCCTCTTAACCACCTCCTCATGAAACTAGACAGATTGACCTTTTTAAGTCTCTCTTCACAAGGCAGGTTTTCTAGCTTCAGATCTTCTAGGTTGTCTTTAATTCAGCAATACCCTTTCTTTGACATTCTGTTTTTTATGCCCACTCTTTAGTGCCACTTCAAGCAGGCCTTTGTAATTTTCTTCCTCAATAAGCACCTGGATCATGTGTTTTAGTAGAAAAAAAAAAACAAAACAAAAATGCATTTAAAACATCTAAACATTTTAAAATTTTTCATGTGATTTTTATTGCAGGACAGAAATTTTGTCATGCAAAGGTAATCTGCTGAAGTTGGGCATTTCTGCCTCACCCAAGGCAGGTGTACCTACTCCAACATTTTCAAAAGAGTCTAATTACAAGAAAACATACACACAAAATAACCTCTTTAATTTCTAAACGTGCAATCAAAACTTAAAGGAAATGAAACAAAAAACTAACATTCCTTACCTGCCTGGGGTCTGATTGTTGTGAGAGACTCCAGGTAGTCCTTCATGTCTTTGTGTTTTAAGCCAACAGAGATTTCAAAAGGTGTTTTATGTAGCACATTCAGGTGATCAGGATTGGCACCCTTCTCCATGAGCTGCTGTGCCAAGCTCACCTTTCCACTAACAGCTGCCAGCATTAGAGGACTCCAGCCCATAGTCTTCACAGTGTAATTACAATCAGCTCCCCAGTCTAGTAACAGATGTACCACTGCCTCATGTCCATGCTGAGCAGCTGCCATCAGTGGAGTGATGTCAGGAAAGTCTTCTCTGCTGCTGTTAAGTACACTTGTGCTAAAATGATCATAATTGTCTACATAAGCTCCAGATTCCAGCAAAAATTTCACCATGCTGACGTGGCCGCCTCTGGAAGCCATTGTAAGGACACTGGCTCCTAACTTATTCTGTGCATTGAGATCGGCACCATTCTCCAGCAAGATGTGAGCAACACTTAGATGTCCAAACCTTGAGAGAAAGAGACAAAGGGAAGAATTAACACCTTAGATGGCAGAAGCTTCTCAAAGAAAACTGACATATTCTGAACACAGAAAACTGTTACCAAATTGGCCTATTGACTAATAGGCTATGTGGGATCATACACACATCACTGAATGTTACAGTGGCTACCTTACTGGAGGGGATCAATCAACAGCTCAGGACTTGAAAACTAAACCATTTCACATGAACCAGTGACCATACTCATAAACCAGGCACTTATTTAAAAGAATGTTCTGCTCAAAGCAGCAACGTGCTAGCCTCATTTTCAACTGCATGACACCAACATGTGACCTCTATAAACTACAGTCACTTTAATACTCTTATTTCCAGCATCACATTCAAGAATCAAAGCCAGTTTGTCTGCAGAGATCTTAACTAAGTACAGTAATTACTGCTGAATGAGTTAAAGCTTCAGAGTCAATGCTGAACAAAAAAATTGTTTTATAAACTCAATACCCAATCTTTTGGGCTTGCATCATTCCTTGCTTTCTAGTTGTGAAGCCCCAGAATGGCAGAAGTCTCAAAGAAGACAGGCATGTGCCCATGAAGCTTAGAGAACACAGGCAGCGGCCACTGCAGTTGTAGAGTGAGCTAACTTCTCCACACAAAGGGGACCAGAGGGTGGTCCTTGATCTAGAGAAACTGCTCAATCAGCAGAGTGGGACAAGTGGCTGCATGAATGGCATTCCCCAAAATGATCAATAGAAAGTATTATCCTCCTGAGTCAGCCAGACCAAGCTAGCATGGGAGAAGCACCTACAGAGCTCAGCCCAACACAACAAATGGGATTTTAAAGAGAGCAAGGCTTAAGCTGGCTTCCAGTCACATATTCCTCTCTCATAAATGGGGACGCCCAGCATCATGATGCTGGTGACCATACAGAGACTGGTAATGGGCATGCCATTTGTCCTGTGGTTCAAATGCATGTTGCAGTTGCTATGTTAGGCTTGTGTTACAATTTCAGGAGATTGCTGTATCACTAGGCTGAATTAAAATCCTGGGTAACATTAAATATCTTCCAATAAGGAAACTTGGTATTAAAGCATTAAACCCTCTTTATGTGGAATATCTAACAGTACTTGGTCAGGGTACTGAACTCTGGTTTCACCGGTAATGCAGCTTTGATAAAACATTTGATTATCGGAGGCGCTGGTAGTTTTGTCAGTAAGCAAAGGCAAGCCATACAACCAACCAGCTAGCTAACTATGAGAAAATGGAAACCCCTGACTATCCTCAGCCGAGAAATTCCACACGTTAATAAACATAATACGTTCACAAAACATGTACTTCATGCTCTTGCTAACGATATCAGGCATTACTATATACTTGTGCAGTGCGTAACACAATCAAACGCTGATCCTGAAAGCAGCCTTTGTACACTGCAGTAAAGCAAATGTTAGTTGAGGAAGTCCCGAAGAATGCTACTAACCACTAACAGTAGACATGAGACCAGAACTCCCTGGTTTCCCTTCAGAAAGTACACAGTTGCAGAAGAAAGCCTCCAGGGCCTGTCCCTAGGTCTATCCTGGTAGGCTTCACTGAGTCACCTCAGTAGAGCCTGCAACCCCTGTACACACAATTAATTTTATGCATATATGCTAACTCCTGTCCAACTTCAACAGGACGAGCCACAGCCAGAAAATTAAATGTATGCATGAAACCTGCCTTTGTACAAAGGCTATGTCTTCTTTTTGGTTATCCATTAAAAAGAAAAAAGGAACGTGCTTTCACTTCATGCTTTCTCCACAGATTTCAGTGATACCTACACTACTTTTCAAATGTCAGCAAGTCATTTCTTTGAAACAGTGAGAGAATTATAGTGATTTGAGCGTGTTGTTTTTAGAGAATGAGCGTACGGTTTTCATTAAGGGAAAAAATAAATTGAAGAATGTTTCTGCAATTTCAACCCCCCCCCCCCCCCCTTTTTTTTTTAACCTTCATAAAATAACAAAATTGTTGAACCTTGTCTTGTTCTTACTGGGAAACCAGCTGTGTGACTCATTCTTCGGGAACTTTCCGTGGGCTTTAATTGAAAAGAGAAACGTTGACTTTGAAACAGACTCTTTTCTTCCAAGTATTTATGAAACAAAAAAAAAACCAAATAAAAACTAACAAAACCCAACCAAAACCAAAAAGCATTTCTCCTCTCAATTATTACAGGAAATCACTGCCCTCCAACTTCAGTAAACACACCTTGTAAACCCAAGGGGTGCTTGTATATGTAAAAATAAACACAAACACCAGTATTAGCAATATGGGTGTTGCAATACGGGTCTCCCACAACATAAGCATAAAGCATGGCATCACTGACGCAGAAAACCCAGTTTCACCATTAAAACCCTCAGCAATTATTTTCCACATCATCCAGCGAACCACTTAGGAAAACACGGAAAAGCAGAGTGCAACAAATTTGCTTCAGTATAATTTATGTCAAAGGTGACTTTTCAACGGGTAGGTAAGATGCACACACAAAATTTAAAGGTAAAAAAAAAACACCAAAAAACAAGAAACAAAAAAACCAACAAAGAATGAAGTAAGGGTGCGCATGTATCTTACTTCCGCATAACAGAGGAGCAGTGTTTTCATGTTCAAGTCTCCACTGACTGTGATTCTACACTTCGTTTTACCCAAGAAATAACATGCACAGCTCCAATCACTTCAACCATAGTACGGAAAGAGAAAACCTAACACCGCAGCATAATGCTTACCCAGATTTAAACTCAACACCCCCTCACCTCACTCCACCCCGCATAAGGTAACAAGTGACCACTCCGAATCCCAGACAACCAACCACCGCTATATCGGCGGCGACCGCCCGCGGCCTACAACATGGCGCCTCCCCGCCCGCCCGGAGCTTCCCCGGCCCTCGCGGACGCCCTCCCCCGGCCTGGGGAGCTGGATTCTGAGGGCGAAGGAACCGGGCGCCGCCGGCAGCCCCGGGGCGGGGAAAGGAAGGGCAGCGCCTTGGGAACCCTCCCCTGCCCGCGGCAGCCGCCTTGCTGCTGACTAGGCCGGTGCCCCACGGGGAAGCAGGATAGCGACCGGAGTCCCCCTCCCCTCCATCTGTCTCTCCCTGATCCCTGCCCTACCTGGCCGCCTGCATGAGGGGGCTCCATCCGTAGTGGTTCGTGCTCTGTACCGAGGCCCCCTTCCGCAGCAGGAACCGCACCAGCTGCTCGTGGCCCCCCGCCGCAGCGAACTGCAGACCTGTGTTGCCAGCCTCGTCGGTGCAGTCCACGGGCACGGCGGAGGCCGGTGGGGAGGATACTTCTCCGCGGGGCTCCGCCACCGCTGCCTCCTCGGTGCCGCAGGAGGAAGGGGCCGCCGGGTCTGCAGTGCCGGCGCCGGACAGCCCCAGGAGGCGCCGGGTGGTCTCGCAGTCGCCCTGCTCGCAGGCGCGGAGAAAGAGCTGGACCTGGGGGGGCACTCCGCACTCCCCCATGGGCAGCTCCGGCGGTGCCCGAGCAACTCGGCCGCCCGTCACCGCCCCGCCGCCGGCGAAGGCAGCGGGGAGGAGGGGACTCCGCCGCCGGGAGGAGGCCGGCCGAGGGCAACTACAGCGCCCCGGCGGCTCTCGCATGGCGGGGAGGGGAAGCAGCGCTGAGCTACGCTCTTCGGAGCCGGCAAGGGGCTGCTCCGCCCGACCGCCCTTCCCTGCCCTAGCTTGCAGTCCCAGAGGTGTCACCTCTTCCCGCCCCAGCGCCGGGGTCACTGCGGCTCCTGCCCCCTTCCTCAGGTGTTTTCTGTCATACACTCCACGGGCTGCAGCCGTTTCCCACACCGTGTTCCTGCTATCATTACCGACTCCCCTACAAAGAAGCATCTTCGTTTTCTGCTCAGGGTCGTCGCAGCAAGTCGTCTCTTACTCGGCTTTGTCCCAAGAACAGCCGCTTTTTCTTGCCTCACAGTTACAATTTGTGCTGCCTGGTGCGGCCTCTTAGGCCCACTCTGCTTACATGATACTTCAGCCTTTACTTGTACCTTCCTACCTTGGCTTTCAGCTCCAAACCGGTTTCTTCCCTCACTGAGATAAGGGAAGTTATCTCAGTAAGGTGAGTCATTCCCTAACAGACATGTATTTCCCATGCTCCGATAGCACTGATCAGTTAGTCTTTCAGTTTAAAGAGTTTGAGAGTAAAATTTAGATTTTATCTTATCTGTAGCTTCAGCGTCCCAGGTAACCTGAAATGTATTTCAGGTTATACTGATTTACAACAGCTGAAGTGAGGGGAGAAAATAAAGCACTGATGGAATAACTGTTGAACTGCAGTTGACAAGTCACTTAAGAATATTGTGTTATGTCCTTGTAAGTTATCTATTAAAACAACTTATTTCTCCAAGTGATAGAGGAGACAATGAAGAGAGGTGCTGTGCTGGTCCTTGCCCTCACCAGTGAGGGACTGGTGGGGAATGGAAGCTCAAAGGCAGCCTTGGCTGCAATGACCATGACGTGGTAGAGTTTGAGCAAGTTCAGCAAGCTCACAGCATTAGAGGAAGGTGCACAGCAAACTTGCTACCCTGAACTTCAGGAGAACAGACTTTGGCCATTTCAGGGATCTGCTTGGTAGAGTTCCATGGGATAAAACCCTGTAGAGAAGAGGGGCCCACAAAAGCTGGTTAATAGTCAAGGATCACCTTCCCCAAAGGTAAAGAGCCTTGCATCCCCGACAAAGAGGTCAGACAAGAACGTCAGGAGGCCAGTGTGGATGAACAAGGAGCTCCTGGACAAACTCCAGCAGAAAAAGGAAACCTACAAAGGGCGGAAGCAAGAACCTCCAAGGTGGTAGCCTGGTAGAAATATAGAGAAACTGTGTGAGAAGCCAAGGATCAGGCTAGGAAAGCTAAAGCACTGATAGAACTAAATCTGGCCAGGAACATAAAGAGCAACAAGAAAAACTTCTATAGGCACATCACTGATAAAAGAAGAAGAGGGAAAATGCAGACCCTCTCTGGAAGGAAACAGGAGACCTAGTTACCTGGGACATGGAGAAGGCTTAGGTACTCCACGACTTTTTTGCCTCAGTCTTCACTGGCAAGAGCTCCAGCCACACCAGCCAAGTTGCAGAGCGCAAAGGTAGGGACTGGGAGAAAGAAGAACCACTTACTGCAGAAGATCAGGTTTGATATCATCTAAGGAACCTGAAGCTGCACAAATCCATGGGACCTGGTGAGATGCACCTGCAGGTTGTGAAGGAACTGGTAGATGAAGTGGCTAAGCCATTATCCATCATATTTGAGAAGTCATAGCAGTTCAGTGAAGTTCCTGTTAACTGGAAAAGGGGAAACACAACACCCATTTTTACAAAGGGAATAAAGGAAGACACAGGAAAACGCAGGCCAGTCAGTCTCCCTTGGTGCTTGGCAAGATCAGGGAGCAGAGCCTCCTGGAAACGATGCTAAGGTACATGGATAATAAGGAGACAATTGGTGACAGCCAGCATGGCTTTACTAAGGAGAAATCTTGCCTGAAAAAACTGGTGGCCTTCTACGGTGGGGTTACAGTGTTGGTGGATAAGGGAGGAGCAACTGACATTCACCTCGACTTGTGCAAAACGTTTGACACTGTTCCACCATCCTTGTCTCTAAACTGGAGAGACATGGATTTGACAGATGGACTACTCACTGAATAAGGAATTGGCTGGATGGCCACACTCAAAGAGCTATAGTCAGTGGGTCAGTGTCCAAGTGGAGACGAATGACAAGTGGTATCCCTCAGGGATCAATGTTGGGACCGTCGCTGTTCAACGTCTTTGTCCATGACATGGACAGTGGGATTGAGTGCACTCTCAGCAAGTTTGCTGATGACACCAAGATGTGTGGTGTGGTCAGCATGCTGAAGGGAAGGGCTGCCATCCAGAAGGATGTTGACAGGCTGGAGAGGTGGGCCAGTGCCAACCTCATGAAGTTCAACAACACCTGCACCTGCATCAGGACAATCCCAAGCACAAATACAGGCTGGGTGGATAATGGATTGAGAGCAGCCCTGTGAAGAAGGACTTGGGGGTGTTGATTGCGGAGAAGCTCAACAAGACCCAACAATGTGCACTTACAGCCCAGAAAGCCAACTGTATGCTGGGCTGCATCAAAAGAAGTAGGGCCAGCAGGCTGAGGGAGGTAATCCTGCCCCTCTACTCTGCTCTCTTGAGACCCCACCTGGAGTACTGCATTCAGCTCTGGGAAATGAGCCTGTTGAAGCGAGTCCAGAGCAGAGGTCACAAAGATGTCTGGAGGGCTGAAGCACCTCTCCTACAAACACAGGCTGAGAGAGTTGGGCTTGTTCAGCCTGGAGAAGAGAAGGCTCTCGGTAGAACTTAGAGCAGCCTTGCAATACCTAAAGGGGGCTTATGAGAAATCTGGAGAGGAACTTTTTACAAGGGCAGGTAGTGACAGGACAAGGCAGAATGGTTTAAGTTGAAAGAGGATAGATTTACATTAGCTATGAGGAAGAAAGTCTTTATTGTGAGGGTGTTGAGACACTGGCACAGGTTGCCCAGAGAAGGTGTGGATGCCCCATCCCTGGTAATGTTCAAGGCCAGGTTAGACGAGTCTTGGAACAACATGGTCTAGTGAAAGATGTTCCTGCCCATGGCATTGGGGTTGGAAATAGATGATCTTAAAGTCCTTTCCAATCCAAACCATTCTGTGATTCTATGATTTTATATCCTTATATCATGACACATGAGGAAATTTCTACCCCATATATAATCAGGATCTCATAATATGAAAGAGTATAAAATTACCATCACAATCAAAAACATTTCATAAAGGGGAAAATGTAAGTAGTCAAGCTATCTGTTCCAAAGAAATCCAGAAAAATAGAGATATCTGACTCATAATCTTCACTATGAAGATCTGGGCATAATGGCATCTTGAATCCCCAAACATGATAGCATTATTTTCATGGCAATTCTAGGAAGAAAAGGCTTATTTTCTACTGAAAAACCTTACTGCTGTGAATCACAAGGAAGTCATTCTTCTGAGAAGAAGAAAACTTAAAAGTTTAACATGTGTTTTGTGTGAAGATTCTTATCTCTGCCTTAATGAAAAGACAGGCACGTATATTAGAAATAGTGTCACAGAAAAGGAGATGCTTCTCCAGTATCATTAGACTCATATATGTTAACTTTGGTACCTTCAGGCACAGAAACAGAAATAACCTTAAATTAATTACTAAAAAACCAAAAATGGTGGTAAGTGCCTACAATATAGGATTATTAAGATTAAATCCACCACGTAATATCCCATTGAGTTCTTGGTTCAGAATTTTAGTCACGGTGTATATAGCAGGTCTCCACTTTGTCTACTATAACCATCTGCTATAACTTTGTGAGGAATTTACTTCATTTATATGTCTTAGAATATGCCATAATTTTGAATAAGCTTTCAAAAGTTATTTGCAACTCAGTATTTTAATTCACTGTGTCCACAAAAGAATGTATGAAAAATCAGTGAGGTTTCCAATGTAACAGTAACAAGTCATGTCATACCATATTCTGTGCATAAAACTGCAGTTTTGTTCCAACAGTTTTGACAGCTAAGATTGCTACTTATGGCTTCCTTTATGAACAACATGTCTTCTACTGCCTGTAGTTCATGCTTGCTATTTAGCTGAAAAGAGCATTTATATATCAACAGTACATACCTGTAGCAAGCAAATATACCAACTGAATCCATCTTCTTCCTACCTTTAAGCTATCTGGGCTTGCATATGACCTCTCAGAAAAGGTACTTTGTACGTGTGTATGTATATATATGTAGACATACATGTGTACATGTACTACAGAGATCTGCAAACTGGTACAGGTTAGGTCTTGCCCAAGTAATCCACTGAATAATGCCTGTTTTTATTGGCGTCACAGTATGAAAATTACAGAGCATTCATCAGTCTGGAAGAAGATCCTTGAAATAGCTGACAGTTTCTATCTCACTCATCAAGTTTGTGTTTTCAGTTTATTTTATTTTAAGGCCTCTGCACCCGCTGTTCTTCCTCTCATCTAAGTTCCTGATACACTCTGCCTCTGCACTAAGCACCCAGCTTCCCTCTTGTCCCAAAGCCTACCCTGTAAAACGAGGTCCCCACTGAAGCACCAAGTAGCTCAACACCCCCCCTTCAGGACAGATCTGCAGCTGGGAAAGAGATGCAGCCCATTTCACCTTTTGCTTGAGCTACACAGCTGTCTCAAATACAAACACTTTAAACACAGACACATTAATAAAAAAATCCTTGGCACTGCGAGGACAATGGGATGAATAATAATATTTTAAAAATACAGGTACACTTGTGCTGACATAGGAGAGGAAGAGCAGCTGAGGTAGTAGAAGGGGGTGGGGATGATTCGTGGGGCAATGTTATTTTATGGCCAGTGAAAGCAGTGGTGAACAATGACCCATAGGTCCAAAGCTATCTCCAGTGGCTATATTATATAACTTGTCTGAATCGTCTTCTCCTTGAACAAATTTCCTACAGATTTCTTCTTCTTGAACAAATTTCTTACAATGTATTTGTACATCATGTTCCTCTGATATTTTTTTTTTTTTTTTTTAGAATATGAGTTGGCTGTAACTACCTAGTTACTAAAACTAGGAAAATTATTCTGGAACACATTGTTTGGTACTTTCTTTTCACCTGAAAGTATGAATATAGAAAACTATTTGAACTTTGGGTTTATTAAAAATGCAGTCTCTATCAGCTGATACTTCTCCATATCCCATTTCCATTTTGGAATTTTGACTGAAAATACAGATGGAACAAAAAAAAACCCTAAAAGAAAACATTGGATGTTTTCTTTTTTTTAACGCTTTTGCAAAATTTAATACTTTTTTTTTCCTATAATGTGTACATCATCACTACCAAATAAGAATAAATAATAATAGATATGTAAAATAATAATG